TTATGCAAAATAGAATTACCTTGGTCCGTTGCTTCACCAGGTATTTATCATGCTGTCAAAATAGGCAAAATAAATTTACAAAGAGTTGATTGAATCGGAGAGTCATTTTGTTAATTTATATGCAATGTGCAATGTCAGAGACAAGTTGCATAGAAACAAAGACGTGCTTACAAATTACTATCGAAAAGTAGCAGTGTCGTCGGTAGTCATCTTCAAAGTCAAATGAGGAGTAAACGTCAAGTTAGCTGTATTTGTTATCTGGTTCCTACGTCATTGTATTGTGTGTACAGGAAATGTGTATTGTCATTGTGAATTAGTGTGAAGTGAAATATTATATTTTTAGTTGTGATGTGTTATTTAGGTGTGATGTTTTTAGTTGTAATGTGTGGGTGTAAATTATGTATTGTCATTGTGAATTAGTGTGAAGTGTAATGTTTTTAGTTGATCGTTTGTTTGTATTGTGAATAAGTCGTTTGTAAGGTGCAGGTAATTGCTGTGATCTGTTCAGGGGGGTTTGTTCCAAGTTGGTATACCGACTTTCTAATGTAAGCCATTGTCTATAGTCAGTACTGTAAGTGATGCATTTTGCCGAGTCCCAGTCAATGTTGTGTTTTGTGATTCGGTGATGTTCGGCAATGTGATTAGTTTTGTCTTGTTTCTTAGTAGCTCGTTTGTGCTCAGTAAGTCTTATGTTTAAGTTCCTGCCAGTTTCCCCGATATAGGAGGCGTGGCAGTCGGAGCAGTTTATTTTGTAAACTGCACCTTGTCGTTCGTTGGGTTGTTCCTTGTCCTTTATGTTCGTTAGTACTTGCCGTAACGTTGTGATTGGTTTATGTGCGACACGTATGTTGTATGGTCGTAAGATACGCGAGATAGTCTCAGACGTACCTTTGATGTAAGGTATCGTTGCTGTTGTCACTGAGTTTCTCATTTGGTTGGTTTCGTTGGGTTTGTAAGTGTTGCGTTTGATAAAGTCAGAGTTATAGTTGTTTTTGTCAAAAACACGTTTGAGATAGTTGTTTTCGTTTTGTAGAGCGTCCGGTGAATCACATATGATTTGTGCACGTCTTGTTGATGTTCTGATTGTGGTGGCTTTGTGTGATGTAGGGTTGTAAGATGATTGGTCTATTAGTCGGTCAGTATGTGTTGGCTTGCGATAAACTGTTGTTCGTAGTTTGTGATTGTCATGTTTTACCAAACAGTCGAGAAAAGGAAGAGTTCCGTTTTCTTCGACATCTTTGGTAAATTGTATGTGGCTGTTCTGTTTGTTGATGTGAGTATGGAAGTCATTAATCTCGTCTGCATGTAGTGCTGTGACTGTGTCATCTACGTAGCGAAACCAAAAAGGTAGTGTATGTTTGTAAGTTGTGATCGCCTGTTCCTCTATAGACAAAAGACAAGGTGCAGTTTACAAAATAAACTGCTCCGACTGCCACGCCTCCTATATCGGGGAAACTGGCAGGAACTTAAACATAAGACTTACTGAACACAAACGAGCTACTAAGAAACAAGACAAAACTAATCACATTGCCGAACATCACCGAATCACAAAACACAACATTGACTGGGACTCGGCAAAATGCATCACTTACAGTACTGACTATAGACAACTGCTTACATTAGAAAGTTGGTATACCAACTTGGAACAAACCCCCCTGAGCAGATCACAGCAATTACCTGCACCTTACAAACGACTTATTCACAATACAAACAAACGATCAACTAAAAACATTACACTTCACACTAATTCACAATGACAATACACAATTTACACCCACACATTACAACTAAAAACATCACACCTAAATAACACATCACAACTAAAAATAAAATATTTCACTTCACACTAATTCACAATGACAATACACATTTCCTGTACACACAATACAATGACGTAGGAACCAGATAACAAATTCGGCTAACTTGACGTTTACTCCTCATTTGACTTTGAAGATGACTACCGCTAAGGTTGTCGAAACGTCAGTCAACAACAACAAAAACAGTCCTTCTCAGCACTTTATTAACCTGGACGATCATTATTTACAAACATATATCGATTTATCATATCGTCTTGTTTGGGAGAATTAACTTGTTTTAAGATCAATTGTTTCTCAGCGATTATAACTTGCATATACAAATTTTATCCTCCTTAATTATCATGCTGGTGACGCCACCTGAAAGTAAATATTTCAAAAGAATACTTCACATTACAAATGGAACCAATTTGAATATTCTTTAAGTATTTTTCAAATTGATTTTATTTTTATATGTGAGCTGTCTTTCAACTCCCCTGCTTTACATTTTTTATTTTATATGAGCTAAGCATTTGAACAACATTTTATCACTATTAAATTTTTTATCAAAATTGATAACAATGAATAAAAATTCGATAAACATACTTTTGTAACAAATACTGTAATAGTTTGTAATGAGTAATGTCAAATAAATATTATAAGTTTTTTCTTACTCAAACATTTTCTTATTTAAAAATAATTAAAGCAAAGTTTAGTACCAGTTAATTCAACAACACGTTTTATTCAAAAGATTTTTCAATAATATGACGCCTTTTTATGGTAAAATTTATCGTTTGTTTTATTAGAAACGGTTGGTGGAAACTCGTGGGCATTTTTTTCTGCCATATGTTGGTACTATGGAGTGCAGCTGTACAAGACATTGAACTACCCAATTGGCTTAATTGCCAGTAGGAAGTCCTATAGAATCATGGTCTTCACATGATGCTCTTAAACAATGTGGATGGATTGGGAAATTTTTAAATACTCTACCAGATTCGTAAGTCTCCTGGTGTTTTCATGTGTTGTTTCTCGTTGTAACTCGATGCTTCACCCGATGATAAACCATTTTTACCTCTTTTATTTATTTTAAAAGCCTTACACAACCTTCTTTTACTTTAAAAATGATTATTATTCCAGCGTAGACCTCCCGATTTTTTCATGATTACTGATCTATATTTTTTAAAACATCGTGGAAGTTTAAGCTCTTTGGAAAAGACTTAAAGAATACCCATAAAACATTTTTTATTTCCTTTAATATACTGATCCCTTAAACTTATATGACTTTGTTTTTTTTATAATTTGTAATACTGTCGCGCTGTAAATACTTTATTACCTGATTAGCTGACAAGCAAAGAAAGCCATAAATAAGCTTATTTTCGATTAAAAAACATGGTGGTAGTTTAAGTTAACAAATGTTTCCACAATTGCAATCGTGTGATATTCAAGAATTACAAAACGATGAAAAGAAAACGAAGATGTATGTATCATGTATATTGGCATGCTTTGTACAAGTGTTAAAAGAACACACTCGGGTTTGTTTATATAACTGAACTTATCTGTAAAACTATATTATATATTATCAATACTATAAAGTAATGAGAGGCAAAAATTCATGTCAGTAACTCATCTATTAACATAGGGTGGCTTTCCGACAGTTCTTGTTGCAATTGCGTTTTTATAACTTCATAATATTTTTTCGTGGAGCATTTTTAACGATAAGTAAGTTAATATTTAATAGGATTCGTGATAACGCTTTCAAAAATCTAACAAGAAAAAAACCAAATTTTTCTTAAAACCAGTCACGGCCCAGCCTACAAGTATTTTCATTCTATTTTGCATATTTTAGCTTTTAACATCAACCAAAAAAATAAATTTCTGAAAACGTAGTTATTATAAATGATCAAAATTTATATATCATGACTAAACTTACAGCAATCGTTGGCACAGAATAAAGATCAGCAAGATTTTCCATTCAGCATAATTTTTTTGTCCCAACTTTCTCTTGACTTGAACATTTTTGTTGTCATATTAAAATTAAAAACCCTCTGGGGCAATTTCACTAAAACTTTTCTTTATTAGAGAATATTATTACGAAATATCAAAATATATAAGAAAAAAGTTAAAGCAAGTCTCGCTTTATGCATTTATGATTATTAAAGCAACATCAGGAAAACAATAAGCAAGAAAAACGAATTTTTTCCGTTAATGCACCTGTTTTTCATACTCTGCAACCTGAGAGTTTTCTTTTAATATGGCATCTTCGTGACAAAAGCGTCAAAGATTACGACGCGTTATTGATTTTTGCGTGATGTACACTTTTTAGTACACATCATAAGAATGAATGCGGCATGTCCATTGAAATCGATTGATCGTAAATTTTCCAATTGACATGTCATGAAAGCTCTAATATTCAATTTTTGAATGTATCTTGTTTCTTTCCAGTACATGTGTATTAAAATACGATTTTCAATATGATTATCAGCTGAGGAAAAAGAGAACAACGCCTGCTAGTTTTATAAAACAAAAAATAATCAATCAGCATTTGGAGAAAATTTTTACTTTTTATGTATTTTTAGAGGAGTACCAGAGTAGAGCACGTTCCCGCTGTATAGTTGTATGTGGAATTCCATGATTGTGCCATTTCTTAATATGACCATCTACGGTTCCATAATTTATCAAGGAGAAACAAATGCTATGAACTAGACGACACTAGTGTTGCCATATAATTGTACTTTTCCTGCCATGATAAATGATTGGAGAGAAAAATGGTACACTTCTACACAAAATAACACTGACCCACAGTTTCCTTTTGGTTTTGTTCATATGGGTTTCATCAGCATTAAAAGAGTACTTGTAAATTTTTCCAATTGTTGAAAACTAATTGTTTTTATATCTATAAATTTTTAGTTGTCAGCTGTTAATTACAGCAACTCGTCGTTACATTTTGCTCAGTTACGTTGGGACCAAACAGCACAGAAGGGCTACGCTCCAAATGCACAACTGCAAAATACTTTTATGGCTGTAACAATGGACTTGGGAAATCCTTCATCACCATACACGAGCATTCATCCCACTGACAAATCAGATGTTGGTTATCGCTTGGCGTTATCTGGCCTTTCATTAGTTTACGGTAAAGAAAGGTACTTCACTGGACCACTTGTTTCTAAAATCGAGAAGATTGCAGTCGAACGGGACACTTTTCTTGTAGTAAATTATAAATCTGTGTACAAAAAAATTGAAGTACGGAACAGCACAGGCTTTGAGGTAAGTTTTAAATATCATTGATAGCTTATATTATAGGAGTGCAACAAATCATGAACGTTTTATTTCTTTAACGTCTAAAAAACGTTAAACCCACTATCTCGTAAAATATTTCTTGGTGCTCAGTATGCCTCCGTGCTCATACGTACATGGATCTGCCTTCCAAAAAAAAAGTACTCCAATAGTAGCAAAGTTACTTCATGCAGCAAACTTTTTATTAATTTTTGCGTAGGTACTTTGTAATGGTAGTTGGACAGCGTCTCGAATTGTATACAATACCAGCTCTTCTGTGTTCTTATCGGCCCGCTGTGATCCGGACAAAGTTAGATATGCCTGGTCTGACTATCCCTGCGAGAAACTGAAGTGTGCTGTTTACAGTGGAGGACTACCTTCTCCACCATTTATTATGGATGGTCCTTTTTCTTGAAACAAAAACTTAAAAGATTTTTATAAAGCGTAATCAACTTTCTTTAGTTAGCATTCATTTGTATTTGTTATTGTTGAGTTAAAAATAAAAAAATGCAAAATTCGTCTTTTAGTCTTTTTGCAAAATTTCAAAAATTAAGTATTTTGAAATTACAATTTGAGAATCATATAAGAAAAATTATTCAAAAATGTTTAAACTAAGATACAACACATCATTATTTTCCTATTAAATGTTCCAAAAGCTTTAATGCATGCATCATTTTTGTCCAAAATCCTTTTTAATCCGATAAATTGAAAAAATAAATGATAAAACACACTCCAAAAAACATCATCTTGTAAACTCAACATTCGAACTGTCGCAGCAAGAGATAAAATTTATCAAATTAAGTGATTATTTGCAAGCAAGCGTGATCTTAAATAGTTGTTATGAGGAAATGACCTAAGTAATGAAAAGAAAGAACTTCGGAAGGTGTAAATATTTAGGCATTAAGTGATCTAACTGTGAATAGTACCACATTATTTCTTAATCCCTTAATTTGTAAACAGTAGCATCTTCGAATTTTCGCTCTTTTCATTTCTTACTTCATTTCCTAGTAACAATTATTTAAGATCACGCTTGCTTGTAAATAATCACTTAGCTTAATAAGGACTTTGAAATAAAGTCGAAATATTGCTTAAATTCTTGTCTCTGCTGAAATCACTAAAATCTTTATTTAACAAGTTGATGTTTTTTGGAGAGTGTTTTCTCGTTTAAACATACCTTTTTTGATAAAAAATTGAATTGCTCGTTTAAGGGTACTTTAAATAAAACATTTAATGTGTTTGCAAAAAATTATTTTCTCGGTAACAAACCAAAGTTTAATTTCGTCATACGATGAATGCCTACCCTCGCTGTCGTGTTTCCAGGAAAAAGTTCTTTGTGAAAGATTTTCTGTCATAAGCAAAATGACGGCTAGTATAGCCTCCCATCCCTTTACGTCAACGAAATTTCCGTTTTGAATTTACAATAGCAGACGCCATCTTGCATGTACTTTACCATTCATTGGTGTAAGCCTTATGTCAAGAGTGGTGTAATGTAAGGGACGAGAAACTAGTAATTTGATAAATGTAATGTCGCTTTTGGAGAACATTTTTTTATTTTATGTAAGAAAGAGTATTTCCTCTCTGCTATACATTATAGTCGTGGGACGTTTTCAATATTGCAATAAAGGGGTCACAAGGAGAAAACTGGTGTTGAGAGTATGGACCATTTTAAACTGAATTTAGATTAGAAGTATAAATTAATTTTCTGTTATCATTATCTATTAACACTTGTCTAAAGACATTATTTAGCTAACGGATGGCGTTGTTTGTTTTAAGGGAGCGGATCCAGATATTTTCGTGACTGATGCATTTCGAGCGCAAAAGGCACAAACCTTCTAGAGGGGGCATGGTCTCTAGGATAATTTTAAATTTTAGCTTGTTGGAAACCATTTTCTTGCGTTTTGACAGCATGATTTGCAAAAATTTGCTGGAAAAAAATGTTCACAAAACCACAAAGCATCGTTCACTCACTCTGAAAGATGAAAGAAACATAAATTCAGTCGCAAAAAACATTTTTAAGCAATCTGTGATGAGTTTCGAAATGCACCGATTCAACATTTCAGCAAAAGCAACGTTTTACTCGTTAGACAGCACAATGGCGATTGCTGTCTCTATGCCATTGAGCTATGGGTATTCTACTGCAAGTGAATTTTGACTATTTTTAGCAACTGATTATTGCATGTAACATGTATCCAGGTCTTTTAAGAGAATGCTTTCTTAAACGAATGCATGGCACGCTATTTTTTCATAACACTAACCCTAACACTGACAATAGTTTATTTTTCCATTGCTTTTGATTTGAAAACACAAAAGATTGAATTGATTGAGGAAAAGAGAATTCGCCTTTCACACAATAAAACAATGTAGACCAAATTGGATTCAAACATGCCGCTCGTGCAAAGAAATCTCATATTACATTCCTTCAATAGATATGGATTAAGTTTGTTAGTCGTATGATTTTAACTTCCGGCAATTTAGAATTTGAATAACTTTTGAGGCTGCCTTGCAAAATTTAACTGCGCTGCGTGCTAAATGTCGTGTAACTTTAACCCGCCAGAGACTACACAATGACACAAAACTCGCCAGTACTTTAAAGAGCCATTAACTAATTGGCAAAGTGCTAGAAATCCATTTGATAATCATAAGAAAAATTCACCTGTTCGTCCTATATCATCACTTTGTTAATTGAATTTTAACAGATGATGTCACTGTCAGGTACATCTGCAGAAATGAATGTGCAAATTAAGAATCTTTGACATAATAAATTACAATCAAGGAACTTTACGTGCAATGGTTAAGACAGAAGTTCTTACTTGGAGACAATATGTTGGCAAAATTACAACTCTTCATATTCTTCTTCTTAAAAAGCCTTTCTAAATCGTTGAATCAGCCGGGTGACAAATTTCTTGCCGCACATATTCTAACAGAAAAAGGGATTACTGCAGTTCAGCAAATACCTTGGACGCTGACCCTAACCCTAACCCTAGACTCTTAAACAAAAATGAGCCCGCGCTTCCCATACAAGCGCTTTGGGTGCCCGCGGAACTGCAGTGTAGCCCCCCAAAAAAATGTGCAACATACCGTCCTAAAAGTATTCAAAATAAAAAGTAAATATTTGTGAAAATCAAAGTGAAGTTATAAAAGATGATGTAATTTTGAAGATGAACAAAAGTGATTCTCCACACAATTCTGCCCTTTTTAATGAGACAGCTGATTATGGTCATGTGGAGCGGATGCAAATTGTATTTCTGTAAGTCTACTCTAAGAAGATAACAGATTTATCACAATCTGGAAAAAATTCTACAACAAACAACAAAAATGCTTGAATCACTGATCCCAAATATGTATATTGTACCATAATGTTGCTGCATGTGTATTGCTTTGTCTTTTGTGCGAATACATGAGCATAACACATTTTTAGGTCAAAAAGTGGATTTCTAGATTTACACAAGCCAAAACCTTAGCTCGTGTCTTCCCAAGAGAACGAATAAGAAAAAAAAACTAAATTACGTTTAAACAAACAAACAGAATCGATCTTTATAATTTTTTACATCACACTATACCTTACTTATTATTTGTTAAATATTTGCCATGAACTCGTCTCGGAATGGGAAAGAGTATTTCAAAGACATTTAAATTCTTTTAATCGAAAGGGGTAAGGCACAATTGTACAGGAAAATTCCAAGTTCATTTCATCTTTGGAATCTCTAGCAGACCGTTGCCATATAAAATGAATATGGATCGATAAAATGTGCCACCAGAACAAAGTGTTTAAGACCATATTACGTATATGACATGAAAAAAATGAATACTAAGACATGTTTTAGTTTTTGGTGCTATGTCTATTTAGCAATGGATTTAGTGATAGACAGGCAATTAAATGATATTCTCTTAGAATTGTGCCACGATGTTGAAGACTTTGACGAAATAAGTGCAAATTGAATAAACGAGATTTACAGATTAAAATATTAGTAATCAATATTAACATATTTGAATTTCAGATTGTTGTTAATTTTATTTAAGAAATTATTTGAAGTCATCTAATGTTTCGGTTTCCTATGTCGGGAACCATTTTCAAAGACTTTGAAAATGGTTGCAAAATTGTGCTGATTTTTGTCAGATACGCCAAAACGGGATTGTTCTTGCTGGTCATTTTTTGCGTTTTTATGTTTTTCTTCTAGTTAAAGTCTTAATTATGATTGCAGAAAATCACGACAATTTAAAATTTATTGAGTTGCTATTTAATATAGTGTGTCAACTTTCTAAAAACATTCTGTCCTAATAATTTCGATCAAAATTCAAACACCTAGCTTCGTTCTAATTTACTAGATAATTAGTTCGTTTTTCTTGAACGAAGATGTTCTTTGTTTTGTCTCCCAACCCTGTTTATTGGTAATTTCCTTTTATGCGTGTGATTGAAATTTCCTCCAATCTCCTCCAATCAAGATATGTTGCCGAATATTGGCACATCAATTAGAACAAATTGTAATGAATTAATAAAAAATAAACAAAAATGAAAATTTAAACAAGTTTACAACTGTTTTCAAAGTCATTGGGAATGGTTTCCATATTCGCTGTTTCGGAAATGATAATTAAACTGCGAAGACTATTGACTAGTTGACAGCGCACGTTGAATTGTGGTATATTTAAGGGGGCGCTTTGCTTTACTAGCTCGTAAACAACTGCAGTACACATAAATAATGCAGATTTCTGACTGTAAAATAATAAAAATTATGGATGAACAGCATAATTGCGCTGAAAAACAGATCAAGTTTGCCTTCATTCTGACTGTGATATTGTATTAACTGAGGATGACATACCTTGTGCCAAGCCCTGTAAGCCGGTCGAACAGTGCTCGATGTGTCGTGGAGCTGAAATTAATGGGAAAAAGTTTGACCTTGTGAACAGGTATGTGTTTTTTATATCAAGTATCATATTATGTGCAACGGTGTGACCTCTTAAACTTATGTATCCTATGAATGTATCTTTTCAGCGAAAAGAATTACATTAACAATTGATTGGATGGACACGTTGTTGACCCTGACAGTGAAAAGAACTATCTAAAAAAAAGTTCACTCTAAGTACTCCTCAGACGACACCAGATAAAGCATTTCCCATGTCTGGATTGCAAGCAGATCTTTCAATTTTACCAAGGGTGCCGTATGCCAAAGTTTGGAAGTTTCTGATAGATGATGTAGAAGTTAAAAAGCAAGTATCTACCGAAAACCTCTATAATAATAAGATTATTATTTCTTCAAGTCTGGCAATCTTCAACAAGTTCTATTACCATTAAGAAATGGTTTATATTTTATAAAAATCAAAGTGATGCCTTCAATAAAAAAATAGTTACACAGTCAAACTAACAATGAATGAAAGGTCTCTTGTACAAAAAGCTTTCTGTGATTGCCCTGC